CAATAGGACACCTTTATTTTGGAAAATTTATACAAAAATAAAGTTATGTTGTAAAATTCATATTCTACGTGGATGCAGTCGCGGACAACAGCTAGTTATGAATAATAGAGGTATATGTATACTATGTATGTACATATGTACATACATAAAATTTACTATACCTAAGTATTTCTTGTACCTATTTCTTGTTTCGATTTTCGGGCTGCTTTTTATTTATTAAAAAGATGAATATAACAAACAGTCTAGACGTTTTAATTAATTCAATAAATCTTTAGTTAAAATACTCCTTTAGACGCGAACAATTTATTTATACAATCGTGGAGATAGTAGCTTATAACTCTTATAAACTGTGACCACGACATGATAGATAACCGGGTAAGGTAAAGTACCGATAAAGGTACCGGAGGCCCAATTATCCCACCCCCCTTCATCAATCTCGCCAATATTCCTGAATCCCCAAAAGGGTAACGCCACTTGTAACGCCTTGAACGTGTTGAGCCGCGGAGAACCTAACGGGTTACCGGGGCTCTGGCTCGAAGTGTATGAGTAGGAACGGGGTGGTTTTTAGTCAGAAAGAGTCTGACACTCCCTTTCGCACCACCCAGGCGCGAGAAGTCATTCGATGATCTTAAAAAAAAACGCCTCTGGTATTCCATCATGGTGTCCATGGGCGACTACTTACCATCAGGTAATCCGTTCTGCTAGTTTACCGGCTTACCACATATAAAAGGTAATTAGAAAACCTTACCTGAACTCTTCAAATGCCAATACAATTTTGAATGTATCATTATCAACAGTTCGTTTCCAAAGACACTGCTGGGTGTAGTAACCCTAGAATAACACGCCCCTAAAGTTCATTATTGTTTAACCTTTCGTCTAAAACGTGGATCCACAGGAGACCCAATATATTTTCTATTGTATCTATATAAATAAAAATGAATTTCCGTTCGTTAGTCTCGCTAAAACTCGAGAACGGCTGAACCGATTTTTCTAATTTTGGTTTTGAAATGTTCGTGGAAGTCCAGGGAAGGTTTAAAAGGTGAGAAAAATAATTTTTAGGCGGGACGAAGTTCGCCGGGTCAGCTAGTCTTATATATATCGGTGCAATCAAGAAGTTACGTATTTCCAACATATTCCATGGTTTCCAACCACTGCAGCTGCAGATGTCTAAAGTTAAGAAGCGTTCTGCACTATATTTTTACACTGGTCACCACTTGAAATTAACAATACATTTTTAATCTAAAATTCTATTTGGTATTTCAAGATGTTTCTAGTCACAAGAAGATATAGATGCACTGTTTTCACCATCAAATAGATTTTTTAACACTTTCAACACTCCTCATACATAAAACATAATTTATCCAACTGCACTAGAAAGAGGATAATGTACTTTGCACAACAAACAGTTACGTATGTTTAAAATATTCAAATTATTTATGTTTATTGCTTTAAGAGTTAATTAGAGCAAGTTAAACTCTTCTAATCTTTGTTGTTGATAACAAAGGTTTATATTTGTATGGACTAAGATGTAATAATAAACAAACTATATGTCAGATAGGTATCTAGGTAACCTAGACTAGACCTAGACAGGCACCGTTATAAACGAATTAATTGATTACGTAAAATTATACCTAACTTAATACGAAATTTGTAATCAATTTCCCCAAATAAACTTTAGTTTAATAAACTCAGATCATACGTTCTTAAATTTTAGCCAGACTGTAACATAAAATAACATCATGCTTTTTATCCCCGAAGGAATAGGCAGAGATGCACTGTACAATTTAACACCCACGTTAGTAGGAGTTTCAGTTGGAGATTCAGGGATTGGAGGAATTGGGGAGGGGGAGGAGGGGTTGTAATTGACGACGAAACACAACGCGTAGTAACACGTTGTTTCACGTAGGTTTTCTCATTCTGTGAGGCCGTGGTCTCACTTCGGTCGAGCCGGCCCATACGTGCCTAAGCACGGCTCCCCACACAGATCAAATATTATATTACGTTACGTAAATAGCTAAATCGTTCATCTCTAGTTTGATTTAACATTGGTTTGTTTATTTATTTATTTTTGTTCTACAAAATTGCACAAGGGGGAGCTTAAAGCTAACAGCGTTCTCTACCAGTCATAGAGTTGTAGTAGGTCAGGTATTATATTACAAAAGTTTGTATGTCTGTTTGTTCGTTACTCCTTCACTTCAAAACGAATGAAGGGAATGGACATTATGGTCTGGATCTGGAATAACAGATAATAGGCTACTTTTATCCCACGGGGACGAGAGCCAATGGCAAGTCATCCCTAAAAACCAATTAACATACGCAACAAAAATATTATTATACCTTAATTAAGTTAAAAATAGAAATAGCGTGATGTCTGTATCTACAATTCTCTTCAACGTTATTATAGTCCACATGACACATACAAAGTTCATTAACCCTTTGATAAAAAGCTTTTTAATGTAAAAAAGAATAATTATATGTATTGGAATAAAATGAGGGCGCGAGGGTAAAATGAAGGATTGACCAAGTAATTTCCTAATTTGTTTTGAAGTCAAGCCAAATGTCAACGTTCTGGCAATTTAGGGCGTTTCGCAACTTTTTTGTTAAAATCTAGTTCACAATTATGGTTAGGTGCAGCTGAATGTTAAGCCTAAGCATTATTTTAGGTAGGTGCTCGAACTCTCGAAGGGGTAACAAAGACTACATTGGACTTAGGTCTACGGTTACTTTACATTGTCTATATATTTACTTTTCCAGTAAGGTCGCAAACAGGGAATTTCCGGGTCGGTCGACTGAGTCATTAGGTTTCCCATTTAACTGAAATGCGCAGTGCACGAAACCAGAAATGGACTCACCCCACGTGGTAGCGTGGGTTTCATAACTGATGCAAACGCAATTGATATAATAATGTTAATTGTTCTCACAAAATTGAAACAACAAGATTCTGTAACTGAAAATTATATTGTGAATCTGATTGAAAAAGAGTAACCTATGGAGTTTCTGACTCGTTCTTCTCCATAGGAACCTACATCTTGGAATGATCAAATAGTTTTACTTTAAATTTTTGTGGACGTTCAAAATGCCTTTCTGGTCTCATTGATATAAATAATTTTGACTTTGACTTTGAAAGTAGGTACACCTATCTTTACTTTGAGGGATGAAAGGTATGTTATTGCTGTGTAATCTTATTAGTTATTAAGTCTCAATAAGTAGATATTAATATGACGTGTTTACAGCCTTCCACAGGGCTTAATTGCATACCGTAAGGATACTCTTAATGAGGATACTCCTAATGTTAAATAAATTGTTGCATCCACGAATCCGCCTTCATGTAAAACAATTAACCCATGAAATAATGTAACTTTACATCACCTTTAGTAAATCAATTAATTAGCTTCGTATATACAAAGAGTCCATTAATTGCCCCCACTCCGACACCCGTGGTATCATGCAATGGCTGTAATTTCACCCGATACTATCAGGAACATTATCTGCCCCAAATCTGACCAACTCCGACTCCTTGACTTAAATGGTCAGGGCTGAAGGGCGAGTGCACGGATTTATATTTTTGTTTTTAGCGATCGTTAACCCACTTTACACCAATTATTAGGTAGTTGGTGTAATATAACGTCTGTAGTTAAATAATGTGGTGCAAGGTTAATATTAAGCTAAGGAAGGAAATCACAGCCTCTGA